GCTCCGCCCAACCATGCCGCCAGCAGCATAACAGGGAGGGAGGCAATACACCATGCCAGGCCACCCTTACAGTAAATTAATTAATTTTAACACTTAATGTTTTGAGTTATTTTTCTAATTTAAAAGCTCTTGGCAGACATTTGCCAGTGTTGAATTGAAAGGTACTATATCGATTTAAATCCTATTGCGGTCATATAACAAATACGAAAGCTTATTTTTTGGTAAGTGTGCAGGTAGTACGGAGATTGTGTGGCTACAGCCCACACGATACACAGAGAGCTGCACACGTGGCCCACAAGAGTAAACAGGTTGAGAACCACTGCTCCAGCGATGGGTTCTAATGATAAACGCAAGAGCTGCAGAATCAGGCCCACCATCTTTCTATCACAAAAGAGACACACACACACACACACGGCAAAAAGAGGCTATTTTAAAAGGACACTATCAAATGAAATATGGCCCCACCCTGAGGATTTGTAAAATTCACCTTTTACAAAACCCAAGAACAAACTTTTTTTTTTTTTTTTTTTTGCCATTACAGTGGAAATTGTTAAAGCATAATAAAGCAAACAAACAACCCACACACACCCAAAATTTAACATCCCCAGGGACCATCTGCAACCCAAACATGGCAAAACCTGAGATGGTGCATGGCAATCTGAAAATGAAACTGATTGCTGTTTCCACTCTTGGGGCCAAAAGAAATGTAAATGATTGATGTATACCCTGAAAAGTAAATTGGATGTTTAAAAAATACTTTCAGTTTTAACATTATCAGAGGATCATAACACCATACATAAGGAAATTAGAGTTTTCCAGACTCATGAATTTTAAGCTGACAGCCCCCCTTTAAATTCAAGGACTATTTAACATTGTTCTGTACATACTTACCCGCTTGCCCTGCTTAAGACTTTTACTTCTCAAAACAACAAAACAGAAAGTTCCCAGAACTAAATTCTACGAACAAAGTCACGGTTTCTCTCCAGGATTACATGCATTAAAGGAACCATTGTACGCAAGGCAGTTGCCTAGCAGGGTTGAGCTGCTCTGTCTAGCACGCTGCCAGCCTGATCATACATGAACCATGCTTTAGAAGCTGACACCGTAACCAATTTGATTAAAGTAAATGCAGTGCTGCAACCGGGGAGACTGAAATCCTCGGCATCTGCAGAGTGGGTACAACAGGGGCAGGAGTAGCAGAAGCTTCCCTATGCTACTCTGTAGCCTTGACCTGAAGATACCATCCCGTGAGGGTGAAAAGGTGCTTAAGTCCCATGCCCCATTCAGTCACTCTTTATTCTCTCTAACAAGACCATGCCTACAAGATCCCACTTCCCCAGAACCCCCACCAATGAAAGTAATCTGGGGGAATGCACCGGATCAGCATATCACCTGGCTAACCTGGTCCTGCCCCTTCCCAGGCCACGCTGCTGGTAGGCTCCACCAGCCTGACAAGAGTTTCCCCGCACCTCTGGGTGAACTCAAATGCTCTACTCCGCTGCATCCAACAACTGAGGGTTACTTTCCATGTGCCTGCTATTCCCCTTCCCTTTCCCAGCCTTAGGAATTGGGATACTACTTGACACCCCTCTGATTGCTACATTTCTATTAGATTTTCCAACTCTGATCAGTGTTTTTCTTTCAAGCCAAGTACTGTTAACAGTTAACATTTTGCAATGTTATAGAACTTCATGGGGCTTTTCCTTCATAATTAAACATACACCCGTGTAAGTAACAAACAGGAAAATCGGGTTAGCATCATGCCACTGACTTCGGGAAAGTTATTCCTGATTTACACCAGCGTGGGAAGACATATCAAACGCAAACATACTTATATTTGTACAACATAATATGGTCATAACTGGCCACATTCTGATCTCACTTGAGTGACTCTGGCTTTTCAGTAGTGTAATATAGCATATAAAGAAACCCTAGTGTTCTCCCAAAACATTTTTAAAGGTCACTGGAATCTCACACACGACAGTACTTGCACACTTTAAAAACTGCCCAGTTGTTTCACACCTGCATGAAAAGCCAGCAGGCATCCCAGTGATTGACAGGTTATTGCCACCATACCAGGCTATGACCTGCTCATGAACTGACCTTTGAGAGCATTAGCCACCCTTTGCTTGAAGCCCGAACAGCTTGCTACCAGCAATCCTTACAATAAAATGTGTGTTCCAATCACTCAGGCCAATTAAAGTTATTCTAGGGTCTGTGAGAAACAGACTCCATACAAATAATGATCTAACACACGGTTAGAGGTACTGCAGTAGCTCAAAACTCAAAGAATAATGAGACAGTGAAATAAATACACTAAGTATGCAAGGGATGTGGAAAGTACTTCTGGGAATTTTTTTCTACTGATCTCTAAAGATTCAAAAATATTACATAGCCCAACAACCAAGAGAAAGATAGAAAACTATGATGTGTGTGTGCAGCAGAGTGGGACTGAAGGTCCGGGAGCATGTGTCCTTGATAACAAAAGAAAACATCCTTTGCAACGAGCAAAGGTAAACTATAGTACCCTCTCTCCGTGGGGGGCAAAGAAACGGTGGTGCATGTGAGAGGGAGAAGGGGCGACCAAGGCATGTGCTGGTTTGCTCTCCATCCTCTCCCCCAGACCAACATGGTTTTTATTTTTAAAATATCAACATTTGGAAAGCTAAAAGCGTCACTGGACGTCTTGTCTGTACACAGAGCTGTGTTTAACTAGAAGAGTGATTTTATATCCATTTAGTTAAACCCGTGAAACATGTGTGTTTTCACAACCTTATACCAGCTTAAAGCTAGCATCTCTCAGTTCAATTTGCACTAGTGAATTTACAGGTGCAAGCTAAACCAACAGAACCAGTTTCGAACAGCCCACACACAAAAGCTGCACTGGTTTAACGAAGCCCAGTCAAGTTAAACCGGTGCAACTTCTGTGTCTAGACAATGTCCCTTTAACTCAGACACAACAATGACGGGAGCTATATAAATATCGAGGCAGCCTCGTGTACCCACTGAGATCAAACCACGTTATAATGGACTTACGGTCTAAGTTACGTATCAGCACACTGGCGTAAGCCCAGTGGAGAGGTGGAAGAGTAACCAACAGAAGGGTTTAAAAAGCAAAGTCTCCCTTAGTCATACACCTCCTCAACTCTTGGGACCTACTTACTTAGCTTTATAAACATACAGTCATGCCAGATCGGAATTTGGCCCTTTATAGGTTTGCAGTGGTGACACTAGTGTGATCCTAACACGATCCTTCTAACACAACAGGCTATTTAAGCAGCTTACACTTTGTCTTATGCCTGAGCGCTCTGTAGGATTTGTGCCAATTCTGTCATCCTGCCAAGGTTTTTCCACAACAGAACGAGGAGCTCGCACAAAACAAGACTTGAAAGTAAAAGCCATTGATTTCCTTGATTAGACACAATGCAAAGCCACAGAGCTCTCATTCTAAACAAATCTCCATGGAACAATTTGGGATGCCAGCAGGATGGCCACTCCTATGTCTCGAAAGGGTCCTTCCAGAGGTTTTATAAACACAAACAAGAAATTGTAACCGCCAGAAATGCCCAGTTCCTAAATTACAAAGAAAAGTTGTTTTTTTTTGGGGGGGGGGGGGAGGAGGAGGTAACTTACAAGGAAATATTAGTTTGATCTGCTTTCAATGAAGCCAAAGGCAAAAACCTCCCTTTGATTTCACAGGCCCTTCTACTCAATCAAATAACCTGCTGGTACAACTCCCGTTCCACCAGAGGTGCCTCAGAAATAGGCTTCTCCAGACAGGTTGTCAGTTCTTCTCTTCGCCACTTGTTCAGTTCCCTTATTGCAAAAAGGTAAGTAGAGTCCCCGGCCGGCCACCTAACACCTCCCTTCCCCAGTCCATCTTGAGTCAACTGGTAACAACAACAACTACTCCTCCCGGGCTTCCTGGCGGACAGTAAAGCCCAGGTCAGGTCGCGGTGACTCTTCCACCCCCAGTGCCGGAGCCAAAGCACCTCAGCGCACAGCCCATGTGCGAGCGAGCCGCAGGCTTGGGAACTTCGCGGCTCCTAGCGCCCGGGCTGGAGGGAACGGAGCCCGGCCCGGAGGGAACGGAGCCCGGCCCGGGTGCCGCGGGCAGCAGGACCGCTCCAAGGAGCGATCAGCCCCGGCCCTGAAGACCACAGCCGCTAGCCCAGTCTGCTGCAGGCCCCTAGGGCTGGCTCTGCCCGGGCGTGATGCACCGACCGCAGCGGTGCGGCGGCACGGCACGGCCCGGGGCCAGCCCCGGCTCCCGGGGCCAGGGAGGGCAGCCTGGTGCCTCGCCGGGCTGAGACTGGCGCGGTCCCAGGGAGACCCTGCCCCACCCCCGGCAGATCAGACCGGAGACCCGGGGCGCTCTCCATCAGCCATCACCCGCACCAAGTCCCAGGGCCGGGGCTTTTCAGCCCGCAGCCGGGCGGCTCGGCCGCTGGAAAAGGGGCCCGGGCACGTGGGGGGCGCCCCGTGGCCGGCGACACAGAGCCGGGCCCCCCACCCCGGACGGGGACAGCGTGACCCTGGAGCCTCAGGCCGCCCCGCTTAGGCTCCTGCTTGGACGGGCCTGAACCCCCCCGGCTCCGGGGGAGCGGCTGGGGGGCTCCTAGCCCCTGGGCCCCGCAGCTCCCGGGGGGACCTGGCCGCCCCCCACCCCCGCGCGGCCCCTCCCTACGCAGCAGGAATAGGAGCCGCGGCCGCCGCTACTTTCACTTTCCAGGACAGCCCGGCGGGAGGGGCCCCGGCCGGGCGAGCCCGGGCCCCCCGTCCCGGGGCCCCGGCCGGCCGGGCCCCGCACCTGCCCCGGACTCGGGCGGATGGAGTCGGCGGCGCTCAGCGCGCACGTGGCGGTGCTGCCGCCGAGTCCGGGGTCGGGCCCCTTCCCACCGCCCGTCTGCGCTCCGGGCGGCAGGGCCCCCCCCAGCGGCACCCCGGGAGGCGGGTCCCCCGGGGCAGGCGGCGAGGGGCCGCGGGCAGGGGCCGCGTACCTGCAGGAGAAGCCGTCCGTGTGGCGCTCGCCCATGGTGCTGGCCGCGGGGCCAGGTGCCGCTGCCTCGGGCCGGGCGGCGCAGGGCGCGGGCAGCGAACCCGGGCGCGGCGAGGGGGGTCGGCGGCTCCGCGTTTCCACTTGCCGGTCGCCCGGAGCGCGGGCCCCGTCCCCGGCGCTGGGTCCCGGGCCCCTTCCCCGGCTGCTCTGCCAGGAGCCGCGGCGCCGGCGGGGAAGCGGGGCAGGGGCCGGCCCGCGGGCCTCGGGCGCAGACAGCGGGGGCAGCGCCCGGCGCCTCTTCCCTTGGCGCCCACGTGCGCGGCGCTCCGGTCTCCCCGGGGGCCGCCGGAGCTGCTGGGGCGCGGGTCTCGTCCCCGGGCGCTCAGCCCGCCCCCCCCCTGCGAGCCCGGGCTCGGGGCTGCGGCTTTGCAGCCCCTGCGTTTAGAAGGCAACGCTCGGCCCAAAGAGGCGAGAGGGAGTCGGAGTCCGGCCGCAAAGCGATACCGAAAGCAGCCGGCCGGGGCGGGGCAGGGGGGGGGCCGGAACGGCAAAGAACGAGCCCCCACCCCCGTCTTATCTCGGGCTGGAAAGGCGGAGAAACGACACCACTTGCGCTGTGCACACGGCGCCTGTCGCCAGCCTGCGGCGCGGCCCTGCTCCGGCACGGCCGGGAACCGTCGCGATACGCGGCCGGGGGGGGGGAAGAACTTCGGCTTGACGGGTTTTCCAGCGCCCTTTACAGCAAAACTGCAACCTGACATTAACCTGCCGCCCCTACTTCCCCTCTGCAGCACGCGGCTCCTTGGCCATTGCGCCGCAGCGGGCGCCCTCTGGCGGTGCGGTTGTGTCACCGCGCTGAGGGGGCGGGGGCCCGTTTGGGGGTGACTTACCCCAGAACAAAGTCGGCCGCCGTGAAGGGAAAGACGAGCCAAAGAAACAAAAGACATGAGATCGCGGGCTTCGCATTCTCCGGCGGCAATTCGGGCTTCAGGTGCCATTTGCACACTCGGCAGGAGAGAAAGGTTTGGGAGGAGGGTTCGCGAATTCTGCTTGGGAAGCGCTGTGAGACCTTGGAGGGAAGGTGCTGTTGAGTATTTATTGGTATATTATAGATTTATTGGTGTACTATAGATTTTCTGTTGTCCCCCACCCACCCACCCACTTTTTTATCGCCAGGGTCGTTTTCAGCTCCTTGGGGGAGAGGGATAGCTCAGTGGTTTGAGCAGTGGCCTGCTAAACCCAGGGTTGTGAGCTCAATCCTTGAGGGGACCATTTAGGGATCTGGGTCCAAAACGGGGGATCGGCCCTGCTTTGAGCAGGGGGCTGGACTAGATGACCTCCTGAGGTCCCGTCCAACCCTGAGATTCTATGAAAAGCCTGTCCCATCCTGCAGCTCATTGTGTTAGTGCACAAGGGGGAGTTTCTCCTGCTTTCAGGAAAGCTATTTATACACTTGGGAATTCTTGGAGACCTTTTCTTCTTGTTTTTGTCCTTCCATTGTTGTTAAATGACATAATCCCGCTGCCAGAGACAAGCTAAGGGGCTTTACCCAAACCCAAAGAATATTGATCATAGCAGAGAGTGTTGCCTTGTTTTCCCCTTAGCTGTGTTTGAAAAGGGGATCAGGATAAAAAAATGCAATCACCATGCCTTTCTCTGTGATCAAGCCTGTCCTCAAGAGGAGGGATGGACTCCATTACCAGCAGTCTTTGCTGTCTTGGAAGCAAAGGGAAGAAGCATTAGGTGTAACTTCAATTTGAGACTGGTCAATGGGATGATTGTCCCAGAGAATTAAGGGCTGCATCACTGGCCCTCAGACACATAATCTACTGAGCCATCCAAAATGACAGGAAAACGCTTATTTGCCTACAGAGTGAAACGTGGTTGGTCTGTGCAGTCACTTCTGGCCCAGTCACAACTCCCACTGGCTTCGCTGCAAGGCCTGTGTGTGCAAAAATACCAGGCTAGGGCCCTTTCTTTGATGTTTTACACTCACACCTAGGCTGTGAAGAATCAGAAACGCTGGGGGAACGAATGGTTTTCCCTTCTTCTAGAGCAGAACTGTGTACGCAGTGGCCGGTGCCCTCACTGACACTCGACAACCTGACGCACAAAAGATTTTGAAGCTTCCTTTAAAACCTGCCTGGGTAGAAAACACCTGCTCACCTATCACAGTACCTAACCCTACAAGCAACTGCAGCTACCCCTGCTGACCACCAGCCTCTGCCTGTCTGCTTGTGTATTGTAATTCCACACTAAATGGCTGAGTACCTTCCTATGTACAGCTGATGACATTCTTATGTCTTGGGAAGCTGAAGTGCTGGGATCCTGGGGGGGAGTCAATTCCTGTCTCTGCCACAGACTTCCTGGGTGACCTTAGGCAAATCTCTTAATATTGTTGTGCTTCAATGCCCCAGCTGTAAAAAAAGAGATCACAATCCTTCCTTTGGCTGTTGTGTCTAGTTAGATATAAGCTCAGCAGGCAGGGACTGTCTCTTACTGGGTAGATGCACAGTTCTTAGCACGGCGGGACCCCAGTGCAACCATAAGACAAATAGTAATAACGGAACAATACCACACCAAATCCCTCCATTGTTACCTGTATATAATACCACCCCTAAAACCTGAGTACGTAACAGATATTTACCTCCAGACATACTGGTAACCATCTCTATAAAACACAGACTAAGAGTTCTTTCAATTGCCTTTTTCCTGTTGCAGGGGAACTCCTTGTCCGCACCAACTCAGCCCTAAATATAGGGCAAAGCTCCCACTGCCATCACTGGGACTACTAGGTCTGCAGCCAGATGCAGGTTCAGGCCGAGTGCAGGTAGCAGAAGTGTCTGACGGCCTCGGAGTTCATGTCGTAGCAGGCCCTATATGGTATTATCCTCGGTCTGTTGCAGTTGTTGCGTGATGTCAGTTGGAGTCACGACGTGTCCCATATGTGCCCGATCACACGGGCAGCACAGCCATTCCGTTAGTGGGTTAAGCCAGTGTTTATTTTTAGCTAAGATTCTTCGTTTGTTCTGGTGCTCCTGGGAAGTGACTTCCTGTAAGGAATGTTAAACATCACTGTGACTGGCCCTGCAGCTGGGCCAGGCCCACGTGCCTCCGGAGTGCACCAGGAAAACCTCTGTAAAATGCCTCCACCTAGGATTTGTCTAAGAATAAAGGGCGATGCCCTCCCAGCCCAGGTGCGAGGGCGTCCCGTCCGATTGTTTGAGCAGATGCCTCGTTCTCTGAACGTTTTTCTAAAGGCTTCAGTGCTGCTCTTGTAACTAGGAAGACTGGTCCCTAAAGAAATGATAAGGGGGTCTCAGTGAACTCATGGCTACCTGGGTTAAAAGGTTTGGAGAGCTACTGATGCATGCTGTTTAATGATTAATTAGAGGTTTCGGAGTAGTTAGTTAGGAGTAGACAGTCTCTGCCCCAAAGAAGCTGGTATCTCAGAGTAGCCAGGATGAACCGGGAAGCCAAGAAGAGTGAATGGTTGGCATCCTATATAAATCACCCTTCGTTTTATTGACTCACTTCTTGTGGGATGTCTAGACTGCAGTGAGTCTGCAGGAGCCATTGGGATAAAAGGAGAGTGGGGTTTGCTGGACTGAAATAGGGAGGGCATGGCAAGCACATGGGGCAGTGTGCAAAAAGGCACAGGTGTCAGTGGGAGACACAGGGCAAGGAGGCAGAGTGGGGGAAGGGTAGCAGTTGCAAACTGCTTTGAACCAGGAGAGCACTGTGTAAGTTCTATGCCCATTACACCTTTGGTAATATCTCATTTAGTTTTGGGGGGGTGCGCGTCATGGTTACTGCGGGGTTCTGGGAGTCTGGGCTTGTCTTCTGGCCCTGCTGCTGACTTGCTGTGTGATCTCGGGAAAGTCACTTCACTGCTCTGTGCCTCAGTTTCCCCCATCTGGAAAATGGAGAGATTCACACTCACTGGCTGCACAAAGGGTACTGTGGGACCTAATCACTATAGGTGAAGCATGTTGAAATCCTTGGCTCAGAGGATTCATTTAAATAGCATCTGGTGCCAAAATGGGAACCCCAGACTAGAACAGCAGGGGAGATGGTGCAGGCCAGAACCCAGGAATTACCTAAAATTCCTACATGTAAGAAAGGAATGCTGCCACAAACATAAAAGTGAGTTTCTGTTGCCATCTAGTGGATATTTTTAGTATTGTGCTGGATAATAAAAGAGAATTAGTTTTCTAATACATGTATATCAGCGTTTGACAAAAGTTTTTATATTGGCTTTGAAATTCTAATCCTTTGTTTACCTGGCTGTCACCAGACTGGATAACAAATTCACACTCAATCTCCGCACATTCAAAAATCCCAGTACACACAGCAGAAGGATTTTCACAATATACTACTGAATAGGGCCTCGTCTTGCATTCTGTCCACATTCCTAACGCCCACTGAGACTAAGAGGAGTTTGGGGATCATGCCAGAGAGTGTCTGGTATGGTCACTGCAGGCCAAACGGCTGAAATGTGGAACCCCTGTATTTTGTGGCCCCCTCATGCCACCATTGACAGATAATGGTTTGTAGCTAGAAAGGGTGGTGTTTAGGAGATTCTCCCCTGTTATATTATTCCGAGTGGTAAGATTAAAAAAACATTAGAAAAATAAAACTCAGGAGGGGGGGGGGGAACAATAATGAAGTCCAGCAGGTGCATCCTCCCCTGGGTCATAAGAAGGGTTTGAACTTTGGCTCAGATCCAAAGGTATTTAGGCACCTAATTCTCATTAATTTCAGTAGGCACCTAACTTCCATTAAGGAGCTGGGCCATTGGTCCTTTAGCTCCACAGAACAGCACTCTACCCTGTGAGCTAACAAGTAACTGTTCGCTCTGTATACGGGCCAGCCACTTGAGGATCCTGTGGCACATTCTTTGCCAGAGGGTTGCATAACTATTTGCGAGACAGCACTAGAATATTAGGGATCAGGACTTCTGGCCTCTACTGCTGTCTCGGATGGCAGTGTTACCTAGTGGTTACAGCCAGGCTCGCCAACCATATAGATTTGGCACATTCAGCCTGAATGAGACCTCAGGCAGGCATATTAGAAGCCTGGTTTCTATTCCCAGTGACCTTGTAATGACCCAGTGCAATGTTTCAGTTAACTTCTCTGTAAAATGAGAGGGAAATTATACTTGCCTGCTTCTTAAGGGCCGGGTTAGAGGCCTTGCTCCATAAGAAGGGCTGTGAAGGGCTCAGAACTATAAACAGCAGCGAGCAGAAGAGGTGAGCCTCGAACTCGTGGTCCCCTGGCTCCTAGATTTCCCCCCGTGGACTAGAGACTATTTCATTAGGTGGGGTTCTCACTCATCTGGGCAGTGTTGACTGTCCACTGGAATAGGGAGGCCACAAATCAAAATTTGGGCTCTGAACTACTTGCAGTACTAATCAGAGTCCTGGTTTGGAAAGAGCGCGCGGGTGGACAGTTTAGTCCCAAAGAGTGAATGCCTCTCACTCAGAGATTGCTGTACTGGTGAGGTTTTCCCTTAGCTTCTTGAGCAGACTTGCGTTGCCTGTAGGAAATGGATTCAGAAGTAGTAAGTGCGGGGTTAGCCCAGCAAACACAGAAAGGCGCGCGGGCACACACAGAAGTCATATGTGCAGCTTTAGAGATTCCCCTGGTTCTGTTCTCCATCACACCAGTTTTACCATAGGTTAACTAGTGGTTTCAGTGGAGTCATTCCTGAGGTGTGAATCAGATCAGTGACCCATTCAGGCCAGATGTAACTGAGGGATTGTCACAATGTTCCAGGGGGCCGAGTAAGCAGGACAAATGGGGCCTGTGTAACAAACAGGTGTTGAGTGAAATTTCCTTCCCTACACAACTCCAGCTGGAGGAGGGCGATGGGAAGCCATGAGAATAAGAACAATAGGTAAATCCGGATTAAAGAGGAAACCCTCTTAACTAACTAGTGAGCAGGACAGCAGCTGGCTGCCTTTAATTACTTCACAGAGGGATCCGCCTGATTGTTTACCTTCCTTGGTGTTAGGTTTTTCCTGTTCCACTGAGATGGCCCTCGTCTGGGCTCAGTGACAACAGGGCACAGCTCAGTTTACAACCCACACAGCTGCCTACACTAATAACTGTGCATGTTTATATGGCTCATGTCACCCTGCTATGGGGAAGGAAGGTTTATAGTGCCTGGCACTGGTGTGGGTGTGGCTCACAATGCTAACCAAGGCAATTAAGCAACACTGGATTCCGGCTAAGGCCTCATCTACATACATACCCATGTTGCCCCAGCCCCGATTTAGCACACAGCCCTGAGCAGAGATGCTTAAACTGGTTTCAAACCAGCTTGTATCAATAAGTTTACACCTTTAGTTCGACTGTGTATTTAGATCAGGCCTCTGGGCCCAGTGCCCCATCCTGTGAGCCACCGGGCAGAGCCCCCTCATTCCCCTCAGCTCTTTGCAGGATCAGGCCCTTAGGGAATAGGCTAAACACTGCACTACTCCCCTTCTGAGGGCACCTGGAGGAGTGGGCTGCATTCTCTGGCCACAAGCAGCCCTTTGCCAAGTGAGATGAAAGCTCCTCATGCAGTCAGCAGGCCGGGGGGCCGATCCACCTCCTGTTGAGGCCTGTGGTTGACTTCATCTGCTTTCCCCCACCGCCTGTAACTCTTTCCTGGGGGGGCTCGCAGCACTTCATTTCTCCCTCTCCATGGCTCTCAGGGGGGAAGGGATAGCTCAGTGGTTTGAGCATTGGCCTGCTAAACCCAGGGTTGTGAGCTCAATCCTTGAGGGGGCCATTTAGGGATCTGGCCACAAACTGGGGATTGGTCCCGCTTTGAGCAGGGAGGGGGTTGGACTAGATGACCTCCTGAGGTCCCTTCCAACCCTGAGATTCTATGATTCTGCAGAGCAGGGGCTGCCTTGATCATTGCAGCTCAAACGGTGCCCAGCCTGGCATTAGCATGTAGGAAATAAGCAGCAACAATAACGTTTTGGGTGGCTTATACTTGGCATGCAACACCTATCCCTGAGCCTGCACACACGCGTTAACAACTTTACACTCAGCCCTTAGCAGTCAATGCATGGAAGGGGCCTGTTTGCACAACCAGGTCTCCAAGGTGGGTAGAATCAGCTTGCATTGCAGGGCTAGTCTGGTGAGCAACTGAACTCCTATGAAAGGGATTTTTAAAGCATCCTCCCATGGCTCTCGACTAGCCGAGGCCACTCTGTGCAGAACTGGAAAGATGGGTAGAGAACGATGCAGGAGAGTCTAGCAGACCGTGCAATCAGAGCCTGTTCTGAGAGAAGATAAAAACTAGGGCTGATTCGCTGCACTTTCAAAACCTGTTCTCCATTCCAGAGGGGAACGGGTCTAGCTGCCAAGGAAACCAACAGCTGTGTTGCGGCACTGAACCTTGGGGCTGGGGGGGAAATGTAATTTCTGTTTTCATTCCAAATTAGAACAACAAGCCAGAATTAAGTAGAATAAAAAGCCAAAATTTCCCACAGAATGAACATTCAAAAAAATTCCCATTCAAGACCATCAAAACATTCATATATTTAATATTAAAACACATATTTTAATATGAAAGTCAAACCAAAATTAATGAAAATAAAATATTTTTACCTTATCAAAATGTTTTGCCATTATTGAAACAAAATCAGAAAGTCCAGGAGCTGGGGCTGGATGACAGGGGATGGATCACTCGATAATTGCCCTGTTCTGTTCATTCCCTCTGAAGCATCTGGCACTGGCCACTGTCAGCAGAGAGGATACTAGACTCTGGGACCAGTGGTCTGTCCTAGTATGGCCATTCTGATGTTCTTACACGATTCGGTTCGACTTTTTTCCCATCAAAATTTTGAGCCAAAGCAACACGTTCCTGCCAAACATTTAGATTTTGACAAAATTGTAGTTTTTGACAGAAAACTGGGTCAACCAACTCTCCTGAGAAAACACTGACCTACAAAGAAAAACCTACATACAAAGTTACGTGCACTTGTCTACAGGGGGCCCTTTGATTCCTATACACTTGCATAACTTGTAATACTCTCCGGGACCAAATTCACCCTTGGCTCAGTGGCCACCTCTTGGCTGCAGTCATGTGCATTATAGCGCACATCAGTGGTCTCCAAACTGGGGTGCGCGAGATGATGCCAGGGGGTGCGTGGCATCAGTAGCATTGCCAGATGGCACTCCGCCATTTCTTTTCTTCAGCGGCCGCTCTGCACGTCCACGGCTGGTGCTCCCCTCTGGCGGCCCGCCTGCGGCAGGTCTTCTGGTCTTCCTCCGTCGGTGGCGCGCCTGCGGCAGGTCACCCTGGGGGTGTGTGAGCCAAAAAGTTTGGAGACCACTGGCGTACATCATCATAGGCTTTAGTGGTTGTGAATTGCCTTTTTATGTGGGTGAGGAGGAAGGCTTCATTTTCATGTTATTCATTGTTTGATTGCAAATTATGTTCTGGTGGTGGGCCCACAAAAGGATTCTGGTCTTGTGAAAGACGCGATAATGTCCACATACAGCGACGCTATCCTAAGAAGGATAATGCAGTCACTAGATTCATCAGGCTCTTGTGCTATGTATAACGTTACTCAATCAATGCTCTATATAAGGAATCAAGCCACAATGAAATACTGATAGCACCAGTACGTTCAAATGGTGGGCACTCGCTGTGTCCTCTTGAAAGCGTGGACAAGGAGATACACACAATCTGCGTAGTCCACTGCTAGACCCAGGCCCTGAGCCTGCAAACACTTAAACACGTGCTTAGCTTCAAACAACCCACTATTCCCACTGGCTTCAAAGGACCAAGCCTTGTTCGACTGAAGACTGTTTGGGGCAAGGGCCAGGTGTTTGTGTGTGTTTATACAGCACCACCATGATCAGATTTGAAGCGTTTCCACTAGCTGCAGCCGCATAAACATTTAACAATAATCATTCCCAAATTCATCTCCTGTGCTCATGCCTGTCAGTGACCGGTCATGTATTCGTGAAACTCCGCGCAGGGACAAGGGAAGATCTGGGTTCTAGTCCCAGTTTTGTCATGTCTAGTTCCTGCATGACTTTGGGCAAGTCATTGTGTAAAATAGGGATAATAAATCTAGTCTTTCTAGACTGTTCACTTTTTGGGGTGGGGACTGTCTCTTACATAGAGCTAAGACAATGGGGCACCAATCTCAGCTGGGCCTGTTATTGCAGCTGCTAGTACACTCCCATGCTGACCAATGTTCTAGTCTATACAGGCCCGTATACCAGGCTGACCGGAATATCTGGGCCTAGCACCTGTCCCATGGTCTTTGTCCTTTCATCCTTTCCCCAGGGAGAGAAGTCTGTGCAGTAGAATAGCTTGTTTTGACAGGCATGTTTTGATACACACGTTGCTCGGTACCTGCGTCAGAGAAGGCAGGCCAAAGAAGGGCACCTCAAATGGAGAACAATTAGCCTGGTTGTAAAGCTTTTCACGGAGCCCCAGGAGTGGAGCTGTCGCCCCTCGGCTTCATCCAGAGCCCTAGTTATTTTTGGGCCCAGCACCTTGAAGTTTAGGACCAGGACTGGAACTAATTGAATATTGTCTTGCTGTTTCCTCGTCCGGTCCAGTCCATATCCATCTGTTGTCTCTTGTATTATACTTGGATTGGAAGCTCTTTGGGGCAGGGACTCTGCTCCGTGTTTGTACAGTGCCCAGCACAACAGGGTCCACGGCTGGTACTCCAGTAATATGACTAATAATAATATCCTGCAATAGCAATTTCACCCAGAAGCATTAATGTTCTGACCTGTACCGTGTGGCCATCGGTTCGCCTCTAATCCCTTAGGGCAGTGGCTCTCAACCTTTCCAGACTACTGTACCCTTTCAGGAGGCGGAAAAATTGCGGATGTTCTCATTTCTACCATATAATCATCAAACCATTGGAATATATTGTACTTACATTTCAGTATGATACCAGAGCCTGCGTTTCACTTGTGAGCCTTATCTAAAGCCTGAGCCCTGCCACCCAGGGCTGAAGCCCGGAACTCAGCTTAACGAGCCCCCAGGCAATTGCCCTGCTTGCCACGTCCTCACGCCGGCCCTGCACTTGCAATCCCCCTAAACCCATCCCGCAACCCCCATGGGGTTCACGACTGCCAGGTTGAGAAACACTGATCTAGAGGGTTTGAGTACCCCCTAGAAGACCGCAGCAAACCCTCAGGGCTACACATACCCCTGGTTGAGGGTATGCCCTACTGCATGGTCAACCTGGCCTTAGGACTGCTGGCCCCAGGTCTCCCCGCTTTGCTAAGGGGGCCTTCCCCTGCTGCACAGACCTTCTGACTGGGCTCTGGGGCTTGAGCTGCGTCCACACTGCACAATGAGGGGGCTTGGCTCCCAGTCTCCGCAGGACTCGTGGTCCCCGGTACTTGCAGACCGGGATCAGGCACCTTTGCGTGTGGCCGGCAGGGGGGTTGGGCTCCCAGCGGTGTGAGGCCAGGTTTCCGAGGCCGTGTAGACACGCCCGCCCCCCCCTCCCGCGATGGCTCGGGAGGCGGGTGTGCGGGCTGGGCTGGCTCTTTAAGAGCGGCTGGTGGCCGGCGGCCACAGCCCGCGGAGGAGGAGCCGGCCCCGGCCCCAGCCCCAGCTGGGGGAGGCAGGAGCGGCGCGCAGGGAACAAAGGAGCCGGGCGCAGGCAGGGGCGCGCAGAAGTAAGACCGGGGGGCGGGATGGAGCCTGGCAGCCGCCGCCGCGGGGGCCCGAGCTGGGAGCCGGGGCGCGGGCAGAGCCCGGCCAGGCGGGAGGCTGCAGGGGACAGGCCGGTCTCCGGCCCGTCCCCGCCCCTAGGGGCCGAGCTAGCGCGGGACTGGAGGCCACGGGGATGGGCCCGCTCCGAGAAGCTGCCTGGCGCAGCCCGGCCGGGCTGGGCTCTGCGGGGCGGACTTGAGCCCCGGAGTCTCCAGCGTTGGGGGCCACGAGGGTTGTTCCCCTGCCCAGCATCCGAGCTGGCTGCCTTCCTGCGCGGACCATGCCGGGGGCCCAGCAGGAGCCACCACCCCCCCTGGCTGGCCTGGAGCAGAGCCCCTTCCCCACGCCCGTGTGACTCCAGCACCCCCGGGGAGCTAAGTCACTTTCCCGGGGGGGCTGGTGCTAGCTCACTTGCCCCATGCCTGGCCGGCTGGGGGGGGGGGGGGAAACCGCCCAATTCCCCCACGAGTCCACGGGAAGCAAGGACCCTGCCTGCCCTGCAGGAAACACGCCGGCTGCGAGACACACTGCAGGGTGCATCGGGGGCTGCCTGTCTCAGGGTCCCTTAAAACCAGCCAAAACCTCATGCCACTAAAAACCCCCAAAGGGGCCAACGGTCCTGTGCTCTGGTAAAGGTTTCAGAGTAACAGCAGTGTTAGTCTGTATTCGCAAAAAGAAAAGGAGGACTTGTGGCACCTTAGAGACTAACCAATTTATTTGAGCATGAGCTTTCCTGAGCTACAGCTCACTTCATCGGATGCTAGTAAAGACTCCCCCTGACTTCCTTGTCATCGCTTCGTCACGCTGTGCGGGCCGGGTTCCAGCCGAAGAAAAGCCCCCTTCCCTTCAGAATAAGTCAAACAAACCAACCAAGTCGCTTCATGAATGAAACCGAGGAGGGTGAGATGCTTGCAGCATTCCCTGTTACTACCTACCTGGCTTCTGCACAAGATGGGGCTCCTGGGGGATTATAAAAATAACCTTCAGGTAATGGGGGGGAAGGGGGGAGCCGCAATTAATCTTTACCATTGTTACATGATTTAAGAGTGAAATTGCTTGTCCACCTCCAAGGATTTTGTTGTGGTCGTGGGCTTAAAAAACAGACCAGATTAGGACTGGAGTTAAACAGCAATGGGCTTTCAGAGAGGAGTGCTGTCTAGTGGTCAGAGCAAAGGCCTGGCAGGCAGGACTCCTGGATTCTAGGCCTGGTTCTGAAACCGACTCACCGCGTTTCCTTGGGGCTAGTCACTAACCCCAGGGGGGTCAAGTTTGGGTGCCCCCTTTGTCACAGCTACAATCTGCTTCCTCCAGCTGCTCCCACCTAGGCCCCCAAAATTCATGGCTGCTTTGGAAAACTTGAGCCTTCATCTTTGGGTGCTGATTCGCCCACCCCCCGCTGTAAAATGGTTACTGATAATTATCAGCCTGAAAAGGTTTGAGGGCCGTGCAGGGGAGGTGCTGTCAGTATGATTAGGGAAGCAAAAGCTAGCAGCGGTGTTGTATTTATAGACCCCTTATGCTGCGGCTGCTGAGCAAGGGTGGCGGGAGGAGAGGAGGAAGTTACGTCCACATACACAACAGTATAGAGGATTTTATTTTACCCTGCAAAGGCTGGGTGTGGGGGGAATGGAAGACCTAGTGGCGTATATGGATCTATTAAAAGTCACGGGGCAAACTGAGCTCTAGGGGACAAACGCTGCCCTTTCCTCACAGCAAGTGCTGCACCGGCTGCTGCGGACAATGACAGCAGCCTGACCAAGTGAAAACCTCCCTCACTGTCAGATTGGTCACCAGCGACCGCTGTTGTTAGTCACAAACCTTGTAAGACCATTTACTTCCTCTATCAGAATGAGGTCACTGTAAACAGAAAGGAAACAACTCGGAAAGATCTGTTCAACCTCCTCGAGTAGTCCATGCCGCTCCATCCAGGCCTGAGTGATGCTTGTCCCTCATTGGCTTCGTTGGGAACTTGCATCGAAGGCTCATGGAAGCTTTTGGAGGGAGCGCGTTTCCCAGCGTAGTGGATTAAAGCAGCTCACCTCGGTGCTTGGATGAGGATGTAGCATTTGCTTCCAGTGCCTTCCCGTTCCAAGTGGCATGAGCAGAGCTGGGCCGTGACCCGAGACGTTACAGATGTTCCCGAGGCTTGTGGCAGGTCTTTGCCATTGTGGGGATGGTGGGGGCTGTTTGGCGTTCCATTTCAGCCATCCATTAGGGGGTCACTGGAATCTTGGAAGCTCCGGCAGCCCTTCATCTTTGCAGTGCTCCGGCTGCAGTGAAGCGCTTAAGAATACGCTAAACGTTAAAGCACAGAAATGTTCCCACTGAAATCAATGGAACCACCGCCATGCTTAGAATGACGCTTCCTGACTCATGGCTGGTACTTGCAATGCTACAGATCTCAAAGCAGGATAGGTGGCACAATCCCTGTTTTCCAGATGGGGACATTGGTACAGAGCAGTACAGTGAAGTCACACACTCAGTGAGTGGTAGATGTGGGAAGAGAACGTGGGTTGTCTGACTCCCAGTTCTTTCCCAACAGAGGTGGACATCTGAACATGCAGAGCTGGTATGGCCAACGTCTGCAGCAGCTGTGAATGTGATCAGGCATCTGGGTTGCTAGATAAGCTGCTAGGGAATAACTTCACTCAGCTTGCAAAACAGCAGCATCTAGGATGCTCTGATAGGACTTGATGCGACTGACTATGGCTGAGGGGGAGTAACCAATACCAGCAGTGTATGCAGCACCCTGAGTCCACCTGGTCCCTGCTGATCCGGGCAGCAATAGACTGGTGCTAGGAACCCAATGAGCAGTGCCAGGCCAGCTGCACACTGCATTGTTCAAGCGTATTTATAGAGGGGAGGGGGAAGTGTAATTTAGGAATTGTTCTTCAGCCATGCGTGATAACAGCATTAGATGGGGCGTGATCCCAATTACAGGCCCAATGAGGGGAGAAGGAAAAGGGCATTCGATTCACCCAGAAAATTGTTGGTTTTGTAAAAGTCAACTTTGAACAAAAGCGGAGATCAATAGGACTCTCTTTTAAATTGGAAGTATCTTTTAAACAGTGGTTCCCCTCCCCCTCTTTCCTCCCCCAAAGGGCCCAAGAACCAGAAAGGAAACTGACAGTAAACAAAGAGAAACTGATCCAATGGGGTCTCACTGGAAAGGCAAACAGCCAGGAGCAGAAATAGGGCCAGGTGACCTGGATGGCAAGCTGGGGAGTGGACAAAGAAAGGAGAAGCCAGTTGCACTGAGCAGGGCCTCTCCCTCAAGCATAGAAAATCGCTTTCCTTTCTGATAAGTTAAGGCCCCCAGATGGAGATCACTCCAGCTCTGTGACCCCGTCTCTTCCCAGAGGTATTCTCACCCTGGGCTCCCCAAGCAGCTAATATATAGCAGTTCCCATAAACCTTGGGGCCAAGAGAGGGGGAAGCTAAGCCGAGGTCAACCCCTTGTTTACCAGGGACCACCTAGTGCCCATACATGTCATTCCAGGCGTTTAAATGGTTCTGTCGTCTTGTGTAATGGAAGGTGCTGTGAGAAGTGGTGTTTGGAGATGGATTAAATTGTTCAGCCCCCTCAAGTCCATTTTCATCCTGTGTTCCTGGGTACCACCATGCTGGGCAGCAGGAAAGCAGCTTCATTCCTTCTATTCCCCACCAGCCTGCTCACAGCTCCTTCCACCTCCCTGCGCTTTGCCCCTGGGGCTGCTCTCTTTGAGTCTGATTTTTCCCAAAGGTGCCGAGGCCCTAGAATTCCAGCTGAAGTCAATGGGAAGAGCAGGCACAGGGCCCCTCGGAAATGCAGGCCCTTCTCCTGTGCCTGGTTTCATGCCACCCCCTTGCCTGAACAATGTCTGCCCCACCCCTTCCCCCTGCTGGATGACGCGATCCAGCTAGGCCTGCAGTCACCGTCCAGGCGTGGCTCTGGGTTTGCTGGGGTGCTGCTGGTGTATGGGCTCCATGTGGCTGGCTCCCCCGCCAGGCAGCACTGTGAACACGTACGGCGCCTGGGAATAATTCTGCAGTGGCTCAGGAGCACTGATGGTCAGAAGGGTGATTAGCCAGCACCTCCTCCCCCAAAGCCAACCCCAGCCCCACTGGCTCCCCCTTCATTCCAGGACCCAGTTCAGAGCCAGCCCAGGAAGCTCTCTGCAGTGACATTGCAGGGAGGACAGATCTTTCAACAGCTGTTAGCCAAGATGGTCAGGGCTGCAGCCCTATGCTCCAGGTGTCCCTGAACCTCTGACTACCAGAAGCTGGGGCTGGATGACAGGGCACGGATCACTCGATAACTGCCCTGCTCTGTTCATTTCCTCTGAAGTCTGTAGCACTGACCACTGTCTGGAGACAGGATACCGGGCTCAATGGCCCATTCGTCTGACCCAGTGTGGCTGCTCCTGTTAACGTTCCTCTCCTCCCCTGAGCCTTCTGCAGGCAAGTCAGTGCTGCGCAATTACCTGGTTCCCCCTCTGGGCTCTGAATCCCTCCACTCTGTGAAGGGGGAGCAGCCCGTGGGGAGTGCCTGGCAGCCAGGGTAAACAGGTAGGGCCTCCGTGCAGATTGCCCCGGTGCCCCTGTGTTAGGGGTTTGAACTCCCTGCTGTCCGTTTCCAGTCCGTTCCCACTTGGGCACTCTGAGTGAGGACCTCAGCGAGCCAGTAGAGTCATTCTAGCTGCTGGGATGGGACTGCCTGGGCTCCCTGGCCTTTGCGCGTAGCTCAGAGAACCCAGCAGATCCTCGCCCCCGAGCCCATATGAATCTTTTTCCCCTCTAGGCCTCGGCGCCATGAAGCTGAATGAGCGGAGCCTGGTGTTCTACGCCACCTGCGGCTCCCCCGCCGACAACGCCGGCTTCCTCTTCAAGAAGGGCGAGCGGAACACGGCCTATCACCGCCGCTGGTTCGTGCTGAAGGGCAACATGCTCTTCTACTTCGAGGAGCGGGAGAGCCGGGAGCCGGTGGGCGTGATAGTCTTGGAGGGCTGCACCGTGGAGCTCTGCGAGGCCGCTGAGGAGTTCACCTTCGCCATCAAGTTTGACTGCGCCAAGTCGCGCACCTACGTCCTGGCGGCCGAGAGCCAGGCTGCCGTGGAGTCCTGGGTCAAGGCCCTGTCGCGTGCCAGCTTCAACTACATGCGGCTGGTGGTGAAGGAGCTGGAGAAGCAGCTGGAGGAGATGCAGGGGAGCCTGGCTGGCAGCCGCAGCGTCCAAAGGAGGTCACCGATTTACCGGAAAGCCAAGCCGGCTCTCTGCTTGGACCCCACGTCTCCGGCTCTGGAGCGGCCCCCTCCCCGGGAGCGGCCCATGGCGCCAGCCCCTTGCGCCCCCCTGAAAGAGAATGGCTGTGCGGTGTGGAATAACGCTCCGAGCCTGGATACCCTGCCAGCGGGGGACGTCCCCGGGGGCCTTGCTGACGCGGGGAGTGGGAGGACGGCTGCGGGCAGCAGCCACGAGGGACGCGTGAAGCCTCCTCCTTTGCCGCCTCGCAGACGCACCTCGTCAGGCAGTACCTGTGGCCCTGTGGCCCTGCCGGCAGACAGCCCCGTGTGCCCAGGCACGGTGAGTTTCTCTAAGCTCCATGACTGGTACGGCAGAGAGATCACCGAGCTGAGGAGAGAATGGCTGGAGAGCCAGGAGAGCCACAAACTGTGACGGAGGCTCTGGTGGGGGCGGCAGGGGGCTCATTTGGAAACACGAACTAAGCCATCTCTGAAGTCGGCCTGGCTGCGAGTGCCCTCTGAGATGCCGTCACGTGCTGCCGATCCGTCAGCGGGATGGGGAACTCCTGCATGCTGGGAACTTTGCCTGCCTGGTGTCATGTGCCTGGCTCCAGCAGCGATCCCGTGGGTCGCTGAGTCTTGTCTTTCCATTCCCAGCGGCGGCTTTGATGTGGAAGTGGAGACTGTTTTGAACTCTGCCCCTGGATTTAGGTACCTGACCTGCTGCACCCAAACCTGACCCGCCCATTGCTGGCAATGGACTTCATGGCACCTTGGAGATGATGAGCTCTTCTGAGCCAAAGCGGCTCTGTGTCCAAACCCCTGAGGCCAGTGTCGATCACTGAAAGTCATTTCCTGCACTAACACGGGGCTTGGGTGTGTGCTGGTCCAGCACCATAGCTCGGGAGGGACCCGCTTGGGTTCTGAAAGCGTGTCGTTGCTTGCAGACGGTCTCTGGTCTTCCTCAAATTAGTCTAGTGTCTAGCAGCTCACAGGCTGTCAGAGCACCCGGGCAGCTAGAATTGCTGCTTCCAGGTGGAATCTCGCCCTCTCGGTTTTGGAGACAGCAGCTGCTGAAATCGCATCAGTGTGGAAGTAGGAGAAGGAAGAAAGTGATCGAAATAATGTGATTTTTTTTACAATCTGATACCTTGTAACCTGTTGCCACTTTCCATGATGCCACCAGAAAGCTGGGACCCCATTTAACATTGGCCTAAATAATTCTTTCTTTGCCCTCCTGGTTTGTGTGTACAGAACCTTTAAAAATATCGGCCTGCATTAATTCCTTTGGCCTATCAATGCTATTTTGGCACTGATCCAGGATGGATTATAGATGGGTAATTCTTAGTTCCTGGTTTGTGCCTAGTTCATTCTAGGCCAGTGGTTTTCAACTTGTGGTCTATGGACCCTTGGGAGCCCACAGACTGTCTAAGGGGTCCGGGAAAGGTTGTCATTACCATAGAACAGTGGTTTTCAACCTGTGCTGCGTGCTGCAGACCCCCTAAGATTTCCAAAACCGTCTGCATCTCCAGGCACCATTTTTTTAGGGGTCCTTAAATGAAGAAAGGTTGAAAACCACTTGTCTAGGCCAAAGAGCAGCACAAGTCTTGGTGTGAATATTTGTTCTAGGTCTGTTTTTTGTTCAGGATTTAATGTTTTTGGTCTGGGCAGAAAGAAGGTCAAACAATGCCACCATTCCTTGGTTTTCCACGTGAAAATCAGCCGAGCAGGATAAAAGCATTTGTTCCTTAGAGAAGGGTCATTTTCCTTCTTGAAATTATATCACACCACACAGCCAGGAGAGAAGGTGCTTTACTAGAATATAGAGTTTGTTTTTCCCTTAAGAAAGGTCTTCACCTAGCTCTCCTGCTGCGGTAGCCGTTGCTCTGGTCCTGGTCGCTGACGCGGCCTCGACCGCTGCTCCTGCACCGCCAGGGGTCACCCAGCCATGGCCTACGCTCCGGGGGCTCACCCAGCCCCGGTCTGTGGCCCTGGCAGCCACTGCTCCGGTGGCCCCTGGTCTGGCCCCAGGGGCTGCTCCTGCCCAAGTCTTAGAATCTGTGACAGAATCAGATCCTTAGTGATTGCTGAACATCCTACCCCGAGAATTACATGGGAAGATTTCCGTGAAGTGAGTAATTCTCTGCTGTAAGTGGCTACAACACCGGGGCTTCGGTTTGGAGCAGAACCACATTGCTTGGGCAGTGGGGTCCTAGTCCAGGACAAGGATTCCTAGGCACTACGGCAATAGAAATAGTAATTAGTATTAATAAGTGTCTGCTTGTGTCTGAACGCGTTGTAGCAATGAACACCGCAGGGCGATGAGGAGGGAAGTGAAACATGAATTTCAATGTAAATCTTCACCTTTTCCAAGCGAATTTCAAACCAGCTTCTGTAATTTATAGAGGAAATGCAGAGCAGCTCAGTGATTCAGTACCCAGAAAGGCACTTGCTCATGGATATAAATTTAGCTTGCAAAGAACTGAAAAATCTGGTACATTTTAGCACAGTGAGGAACTGAAGGCTTCTGATGTGTCTTTTAACGTTTCTTTTATTGCTGAAATATTTTGGGTTTGTACATTTTTAATTTTTACTCTCTCCTGTCAGTTACATTGTGGGACAATGTCTCCATTGAAGTGATGCACATATTATTGCAGCCCCTGGCTCGCTGAGTGATGTCCAGTTCTTGGGAATATTTTATACTCCTAAAATGGCCTAAATATAAAATGACCTCTCTGACCATAAGTGCTAAGGTCATTTCTGTGCACCTTGTTTTGTGTTCCTTGTATGTACTGTATAACATGCCACAGACTCACTGCTGGGTCAGTGTGTGTGTGTGTTGTTTATTGTAATACTGAAAAGTTATGAGATCTTTCTTCAAAAAATATTATTTTCCTCTCCAGCTTGTCATGTGGGTGAATTTCAAATCCATTCTCCCAGGGAAGGAATGCTAGCATTTGTATGCTTGTCTTACCAATGACGCATGCCCCTACCATACTTAACACAGAGTTCTCCTTGGTACAGAATCGACCCCAGCGACGGATTCATTGCCAATCCCAGCAGCAACGCTGGCTGAGATCTGCTTTTGACCTCACCATCTTTGACAGCAGTTAGGTAATGGAAAATACCTCATTCACGGGGCAGGGAAGCCAGGCTGACCTTGGAATAGGTCAGAAAAATCAACCCTGGTTGTGTCAGTCTTTGTGCTGACAACTCTGACTACTCCCGCATACAAACTGCTTCGTGGGAAATCTGCCTCTTCCTAATGTTCTCAGTTTCCAGGGACATTAAAAATAGACGAGAGGAGCCAGACTCTTGCACTAGATAAATGAGGTTTCTTAGGACTTGACAATTGCATCTGGACAGAAAATCACCATTAACTTTACCCAGCAGGAGTGAAATTCTTTCACAGTGAACTAGAGCAACCTGGTAGAACTGCAGAAGAGCTTTACTTTGATCATTTCGCAATCTACAGTGGTTGGCCTTGTGTGTTCAGTCTCTGCTCATTAGGAGTCATTAAACTTACAGAGGCAACTTCATCCCTGCAGTAACGCCAGGGAATGCTAGTGGAGTTACCTCCAGGACGAATTTGGCCCTGCGGATGCACATATTGTAATGTAAGAGGCGAGCTCGCTTTTAGACTGGGCAAGGGTTTTAAAGAAGAAATGATCCTTCCCGCATTACAGCCCAGAGAGGTTGCCAAAGGCTCCTGCATACTGGAAAATACTGCATGGAATCAAATTTGTATGACGCTTGACTGCCTTGGAGTAACGACCGATGGCAGGGAATGAAAATTCTGTGATTTTCACTTCAATGCATGTGGGGTAAATACCTGGCTAGGCAGAAACAGCTGCGTGCTACAGGCTTCAAAACCTCTGAACGTGTTAAGCTGTCAGCATCCCAGCACCAGTTGTCTTTTAAGGGGAAGTATCCCTGAAACGCTGAGGGGGAAAATTCTCTTGCTTATTCAACAGGAACACATTTATCAGACAGAGAATGATACCATCGGCGAGACGTTGAATGATTCATGTTCTGGGTCAAAGCTGTGTGTGTGTGTCTCTCTCTCTCTCTCTTATTTATCATACACACATTTTATAAACACAAAGACAACCCAGCCATGTTTTAGTGGATTATCTCCTCCTAATTCTCCAGATGGATTGTGTTGCATTTTATCTATATGTAGGCCTGGCCTTTTCATTTTATGTTTCATGTTACTGCACCTTGATTTTAATTTACTGGTATCCTTATTTATGTTAGTGTCTGACTGTCAAAGAATGTGTGTTTTCATTCCAAAGGGAGAGCAGTTTTGTAACTTGAAAAGTGTAACACTTTGCAAAGAAATGTCATTAGAAGTGTGGCTGGTATTAGTTTTCTTTCAGAAGGGATATGTGCATGTTCCCTCTCTCAGAACAAATTTAGTTCCTTACTAAAAGAAAAGTTAGTTTAGAAATGCTGCTTGGGTGAGTTTGATGCACGTAGTTGAAGCTTTGACTTGTTAGTCTAAACACCCTGCCTGTTTTAATTCCAACTCCTGGTCCCACCAGAGTCCATGGGAGTTTTGACACTGACTTGAGTTATACTAAGGTTTAACCCCTAGCAATTTTACACAACAGGTCATGAGAACACTGTACCATCTGTAACCCACTCTGGCAGAATGTGGGACTGTGTATGTACCCCCTCACAGAACAGGACAGGAGTTTACTACTGCTACCAGGTAATGGAATTACTGCTTTAGCTCAAGTGGTGGAGGGACATGCTTTTAATACTGAAAGTCTCGGGATCAAACCCACTGGTAGCATGGGAGCTGTTCTGTCACACAGACTTAATCTGAAGTAGGTCAAAGGTCCATTTATCATTCTGTGCCTAGGGGGAAGCAAATTCAAGTACAATGTTACAGGGGGAGGGAGAGTTTATACCTAATGGAATAATTAAAGAATCCTCAGAGGTTAGTTTGAAATCCACTCCTTCCAGTCTGTAAAATGGTGTGAGATCCAAATGCTATAGACCTGCAAGGCACCAAGGATTTGTTTTTTCATTCGAGAATTGCTATTTTATTCCTGGGAAATACACAAAGATAAACTGATCATAAATTGCTTCCAGCCCTTGCTCTATAAACCACTTGTCAGCTCTCGGTAGAAGCTCTCTGAAGTCTGTGGTGAAGTGTGAATCTATTTTATTTTTTAAACTAAAATAATGGAAAATTGCAAGTCAGACCAACATTCATACTTTTTTGTAAGATATGAATGACAACATAGAGCCAAGAAGATCATAAACAATCTCCAAACGTGGGTTTTTGTTTGTTTTTTTGAAAGTGTAGGAAGTGGAAATATTCAGAGATTTTGCATGTAGTATTTGAAAATATAAAATCATTCCAAGAATTGCCAGCTTGGGCAACAGCGGAAGCGTCAGCCGAGGGAAGACGGATTATCTGCAAACACGCTGTTGAGTTTATTTTTCTTCAATCGTCCAAGACTAGAATCAGAGAGTTTCATGAGGCCCTTTCTTCATTCAGGATTGTGCAAATCACTAGCCCTCAGGGAATATGACCTATAACTTTACAGGCTCAGAATTCAAGTCATTTAAAAAAAAAAAACTTCCCGCAACAATCTGGCTTCCAAGCCCCTTCCACTATGGAAAAAACTGATCATCCCTCAGGCTGTAGCATGGAACCCCCAGCTGTACACCTTCCGAGCCCGTGGGTCTGAGCAACAGCCACCCCTTCGCAGATCCAACACCAGAAACCTGGTGCATTACTGATGGTAGCAAAGTGCAATAGTCAGACAAGATACTGCTTCCACTGATGGAACAGGCAAGTCGCTCATTGACTTGAGCAGTACTGATCTAGCACCTGATGCTGCGAGCCATCAGCACTTGTGCGGCTCATTGGAGTCCATGGGAACTGAAGGGGCTCAGTGCCCCTCCAAAACAGCGTGAATCCAAACCAGCCTCCCCGGCTCAAACTCACTGTTAGAAAACGGGTCTGTTAGAAAACACAACTGACTTTGGAACAGTGTCTGGCCCACAGGCATTACAATAGCTATCTGTCCAAATACACAATGCAAAGCCATGGCCAGGTGCGAGTCCTGGAGCTTCCCTGAACAAGGTGCTCAGATAACTATGGGGATGAGGAGGATACAAACAATGCGGGGGGGGGGGGGAGAGAACAGACATACAAGTGAAAGCATCACAGCTACTGCAGTTCAGAGACTGGTCAGACCTAGGGGGACATTTCAATCAACTAGAGCACTGGATGTAAACTGGCTTCTGGGCCCCTCGCCTGACGCTGCGGGGGAACGTGAATCCAAACCAGCGCCCCCACAATAAAAGAACCCTTTACTAAAACCTTTACTAAAACATTTAAGAGTGAGACCCAAAGCTCGTTGTCGGCATCTCTTTAAAACAGCTGTTTGCCACAATCAAAATTCGCCACTTGCAATAACAGGGCTCCTGTGACTCGCTCCAGGGTCTTTCTATTGTTCTCAAAGAATTATTTCTCCTGGGCTGTAATTAGGGTCCTACCAAATCTGTGGCCACAGATTGTGAAAGCTGGTCTCCCCGCAGCAAATCTGGTCTTTTGTTTGCTTTTACCCTATACCACACAGACTTCATGGGGGAGACCAGCGTTTCGCAAATTGGGGGTCCTGACCAAAAAGGGAGTTGTGGGGGGGTGTCACGGTACTGCTCCCCTTACTTCTGCCCTGCCTTTAGAGTTGGACAGCTGCAGAGCAGTGGCTGGTGGCCGGCCGCCCTGCTCCGACGGCAGCAGCGCAGAAGGAAGCGTGGGAAGACCACCCCAGGCCATCCTTACTTCTGCGCTGCTCTCAGAGCTGGGCTCCCGGCCAGCAGCCACCGCTCTCCAGCTGCCCAGCTCTGAAGGCAGAGCCCCCGCCAGCAGCACCACAACCCCCCCCTACAATAACCTTGTGACCCCCCCAACAGCTCCTTTTTGGGTCAGGACCCCTACAGGTACAACACCCTGAAATTTCAGATTTAAATAGCTGAAATCATGAAATTTACAATTTTTAAAACCCTAGGACCATGAAATTGACCGTGAATTTATTAGGGCCCTAACTATAATATACTGGGTTAACCTTTAGCTATGGGGTTCCTGACCCAAATGTATTACGCCAAAATGTTCTGTTTGGGGGACAGCTAGGGCTACATTTTCAGGAGCACTGAGGTCCTACAGCACCCCCCGAAGTTACTCCAGTTTTATACCTAGAGCATGTCAAAACTTTTCAAAAACACCTTTTCCCCCCCAAAAAATATTTCAACATATTTCATGAAAAATGGCTGCAGCTTTCCAACCCGAGGGGCCAGAGCATCTCAAATAGTCACAATTGCAAAATTTTTTTGCAAAGCATTTCCAAAAATGTTCATTGCATTTTTTAGCCAGCTTCATTTTACACCTGTCTCTCTGAGCTCAGAATCAGACCCCTTATGTAACACCACGTTACTGGGTGCAAAATAGGGAAGTAGTTTCAAAGCTATTGACTACAGACGAGACTAATCTAAGCTCTATTGAAGTCAACAACTTCCAGAGACTTCGTTGGTTTTGGATCAAGTCCCAAAGCAGCACTCAGAACTCTCGTTTGTGGAAATGCATTGTAGTGTTAAAAAGAAATTAGTCATCACCTGTTTGCCCTAAAGCAGGATGTTGGACTAAATTCCGCACAACTCCATTTTCTTGGTATCTAGGGTGCCCCGTTCTATCTGCCATTCCCAGCGCTGAGCCGTGGCCCTGCAATCAGAAGGGGATTATGCATCATGGCCAGTTCATTTCCTCTGACGTTTCTAACCTCTGTCTATTTCCATCATGCGTATCACTAGCCCAATGGGGCAAGGCCAGCTTTGAAAGCTGGACTGGCTCCCGGTGCCAATCTGGTGATGATGGTGAGCCCCAGGGGCATTTTGCCCCGTTTGCAGTTTGTTCTGAGCCCTTTTGACGTAACTGTTAGCACCGAACAAAATAAAAACAGCATGTCTACAGCAAGCAGAAGCAAACAGCTGCCCTGTGGCTGCCATGTCACTCCCAGAGAGAAGATTTGGGAGCAGGATTTTTAAAATCCCCTCGGACAGTGAGGCGCCCAACTCCTATTGAGTTTCATTCCCAGCCTTAAAATACACACCAAGCTTTATGATTTGCTTCCCTGCCTGCTTTTCCTTCATATTACGCCCTGACCCTGCAAGTGCCTTTGGTTCAGTGGGGCACATGGGCACAGGTAATAGCAAGAGAGGGCATTAAAATCATAAACTCTTTGGGGTAGAGATCATAGAGGCTGGTGGATTCAATCACCAGCCTGGGGAAAGCAACTGGCCACACTTTGGTCAGTTTATAGCCCTTACTTCCGGGCCCTGTTTAGTCTCCAATGCAAAAGAAAGGAAACAGGGCAAAGGGGATGGATCACTTGGTGATTACCTGTTCTGTTCATTCCCTCTAGGACACCTGGCATTGGCCACTGTTGGAAGACAGGATACTGGGCCAGATGGACCTTTGGTCTGACCCAATATGGCCGTTCTTACGTTCACAACATCAAGTGCCCCACTTAGCCCATGGGGCCCTCAGGCCTCCATCAGGGCAGGTAATTTCCCAGCCTAGGGTGTCCACAGGGCCTGCTTGCTCTCTCCCAGTCCTCATCACAGCCCCCGGCCGGCTAGCAGCTGGAACGTCCCCGAGCAAAACAAAGCATGGATGTTAAAGTAGAAAGATGCCCTTTAGATTTTTTGAATGCTGCTTTGGGTTATCCGTGGGGCTCAGCGCACCACCCAGCTGGCTCCGAAACAGCGTGGGCCTCACTCAGCCCTGGATGTCCCTGCTAATTCCAAACTCACTGCATTTGACCTCTCCGACAGGAGACCGCTGGTTCCCCGGGAGCTAGCACTGCTCTCGCCCCACGTGCTCTCCACCTGTTACTCTGAACATGTGCTTTTGCGTGGAAAGGCAACATCATCGCCCTGGTTTCCTTTCTCTTGCTCTGATCCTCCGGTGAGCTGACAGTCCTCCACCCCCGGCCCCTATGTAATGGCCGATTTGGCTTCCTGCAGCCTGTCTGGGGCCCAGGCTCACAAGTCTCTTCCTTAATATTGAATTGTCCAGCTCACAACATGGGGCCTGGCTCTTGTCTCAAAGCCCTTTGTGCATCAACCAGCCTCTTCTTGCCTCCGGTATCCACTGCAGGAGCAACACTGGTAATTAGCTGCCTCATAAAACAGGGAGCAGGCTGGCCCCAGCATGGCTGCATTAAAATAAACAGGGCAGGGAGACAGTCTCGCAAATATTGATCTGCTGGGCTCAGCGCTGGGCATGACCCTGCGACTACTCACCTGCCATGGCAGGACGGTCCCTTGCCAAGGAGAAGGGGGAGTGACTTCAACAGAATCAGAGCTGGGCCAAATCAAAATCCTGGATCCAAACCACTGAGATCCAGACTGAAAGTTTATGGCTGTAAAAGCCCAGAGCAAAACCGTGCCTTCATACTTCAGAGGTTTGGAGCTGGGTTTTGCTGGTTGGAGCCAGCTTAGCCCAAAGTGCAGGGAAGTTTTCCAACAACAACCCCTGCTTATCCATCAATATAGAAGTAGCAGGGGCGACTCAGCCACACCCTGGCACCATGCCCAGCCCCAGTATCACTCACAGTGGTCACGTCCCTACTGCTTTACCCATGACCACGCTGGGGTAGACGGGAGACAGGCCCCAGCTCGGCATGGGCACTGAGAAGGGGAGGAAGAAGACTTGTGCCAATCCATCCAGCTTGCAGGCAAACCTAGCCCCGATTTCAGATGTGGATAGAGTGTTGCTTTGCCCGCAACCCCCACCCCGCACATCCAGGGAGTGATGCTTTAATGCTGTTCACCGCTACCCCCAAATCTGTTTCGATTGTGGAGCTACACGTTTGTACAGCAAGAACGAACCAGCCTCTATTTTGTGGCAATCGCTGCTTCAGACTGAGGATCTCAAAGCACTTTGCCAAAACGAATTGTTGCGACAACCCAGTGAGATGATTTATTACTCCTAGGGAAACTGAGGCACACAGGGGTGACGTGACTTTCCCAGTGTCACTCAGGGTGCACGTAGCCAAGCCAGTAGCAGAGGCCTCTTGGCTACCGTACAGGCCTTCCAATCTTTACCTTGCTTTGCTAGATAAAATGCTGTGGATTTTTTTAACAAAGTGCTTCAGTAAAACCAGCTCAGATCTACTGTCTAACACCGC